AGTGAATAACATTGATTATATTGTTAAAATGGAACCTGTCAAGGGGTGGGATATATTAGGCAGCAAGTGAACTGTCAGCTCCTGAGCTTCATGTGTTAAAAGCATGAAAAATGGGAAAGTGAAAAGATCTGAGTGACTGTAATAATGGCCAAATAGTGATGGCTAGATGACTGTCCAAAACGGCATGTTTTGTGGGTTGTTCCGTCATGCACTGGTTAGTACCTGGTGGAAGAAAGGACAGGTGGTGTACTGGCATCAGGGTCATGTGCGCTCAAGAACGTGGAGTCCATGCCTCGACACAGTTGTTTTGGCAGCACGAGGGAGACCTACATGATATTAGGCAGGTTGTTTTAATTTTGTGGCTGTATAACCTTTATGTAGAAAGTTATTTTCTGCCATATCGCATTGAACGTTGAATAAGTGACTTTTATATTCCATTTTTTAATCTTTTTCTTACAATGAGTGTTCAGAATCTGAAAGAATTCAAATGTAGATTCAAAAAGAACCACTTTGCTAAAGTCCATAAATTACAGAAATTCCTAAATCCAATCTTTGCAGAAAACATTACAAATTATGCAACATTAACTATCAAATCATCAATTAAATAGATAATTGTCTAATTATTCAAAGTAATATGTTACCTACAACTCCAACACATTTTAACCGTCTTTGTATGACTCCCCTGCTGCTTATGTCAATGATAGAAGACCGTGGGGAATAGCTTATTCACATTTAATTATCTGTTCATTATGTTATCTGTTCATTATGTGCTTGGTTCTTTGTGTACATTGTACATTAAAGCATTAAAGTGGCCAATTGTAAGTAAATAAAATAAATTAAAAGGTGAACTTAGATAGACATGTCAATGTACTAGTTATAAGAAAAACTAGAGGGGCGTGACCTGGATCTCACCGAGCACAGTCGCATGCCTGCGGTGCTCCTGAGTAATAACAGCGATAAATGCAGGTTAATAGATCCACACGACGACAATCCAACTACTTTCTAGCCCGCACACTCGGTGACAACATGGGGAAAAGAAATAAAAGTAAAAAATCACCCTGAGGACAGATCCCGGAAAATCAGCCATCTTTTCCTGTCAAGGCCCAAACCTAAAATGGCGTGACCACGGACCCCAAAGCTCATCCTCAGAGAACAAAGCACTGGATGTTCCGGATCCAGTACCAGAGGCTGCAGACCCAATCTCGAGCCTATCACTCGACGATGTGAGAGCTCCGGCTACCAAGGGAGACATCCTGAACATACTGCAGAACCTGCGCACCCTGTTCTGCTCAGACATAGCGATTCTGAAGTGACCACAGGCAGGGTGAGGGTTGCTGAAAAGGACATCGCCGCTATGGCACAACGCCATCAAGCAGCAAAGGAGAAACTATTACTGTCACGATTCGGGGAACCCAACACGCTGGCACACACACACACACAAAAGGTGCCGTACCGGACCTTAGAGTGGCTGGGCTAAGCACACACAGAATAGTCGGGAAACAAGCCGAGTAAGGGGAACCAGAAGACAGAATAACATGAAACAAGCCGAGGTCAAAGGGTAGGAGAAAGTCACAGAGTCGGATAAACAAGCCAGAGAGTACGTAACCAGAAGTACAAGGTAAGTAGTAATACTAGAAAGCAAAGACCACAACAGGGCAGGGAGGAACAGGAAAGGTAAGTATTTAAACCATAAGGTTAATTCTGATTGGATAATTTCCAATTAGAATTAACAATCACACGTGGGAGATATCTAGACCTCCCACTGTGATTGAGGCACTGTGCCTTTAACGCCGGGTCAGGTGACTGACTCCGGCGTGTACAAACTTGGGCGGTCTCCCAGCGTGCAGCGTCATGTATGCTGCCGCTGGGGGACGTGGAGGAAACGGCGGGCGGCATCCGAGGCTGGAAGGATGCCGCTTGCCGGACCCACGAGGAGGAGGGGACCGCGGACGGCTGGAGGGTGAGTACCGCGAGCAGAGTGCAGCCTCCCCTCGCAGCCGCCCGCGGGATCCCGACAATTACACCTCCCGTCCTTGCACCATGCACTACAAGCCCCGCTGGATGGCCTAGACGACGCTCCAACAAAAATCAGAGGCATTGACGACATTAACGCCTCTTATCTGCAATACTTAACTCCAAGCAGACGAAGACTGTACATGTGGAGGGCGTACACATACTCTCCAAATTACCAGGAGCCACCGGGGGAGGCCTCCCGTGAAGTCCTTCAATCTACTTGGGACAAAATGGCGGTGATGGCAGCGATCAGCAACAAGAGCCCATACCAACTCGAGGGCACGCAGCTCACTTTCCTGCAAGACCATTGCAGAGCTACTCTGACCTGGAGACCGTCCGTGCAGCGAGTCACCACGACCCATCCATGCTAGTAGTTACAAAGGGAGCAACTACCTTTTGACTGACATCGACAGAAGACTCTGGAACATTCCTCGGCAAACTGGGCATTAATTGGGATCAAGCCATCTGGCTATGGGGACACCAGACTCTACAATACCTTATGACACTTGGTCAGAGAATTTTTTACTTCTTTTATTCTTGTTCTTTTTAGTTTCTCTTTGAACTTTGAAGCAAGATAGCTTCCAATTCCCCATTACCACAGCAGAGAATACTCTTCCCCACCCCACCCAAAAAAAAGCGTAACCAATAGGTAGGGGAAGACATGACAGCATGCCACCCTCCTTTCATAACCTTGAGGGCTTGATGGTACACCCCATATACGCCACAGATTATTGCCCCATTATAATTAACGCCGTAGCCAATACAAATTCATACAGGCTAAAATCAGATGCAGCCCTGGCTCCTCCCCTCACCCCGGGGTGCCACCCCATTCCTCCACAGGGGGTGAGCAGCTACTTAACCCGGGTCTAAGACCACGCATACCTCCCCTCCCACACCAGTTTACAAGCATAGCCTTAGTCACAAGCCAAAACCCTTGTCCCGATCGTCTACTGTTAACAGGGCAGTAAATAGCATAAAACCTCTAACCCTGCTTCTCTCTTCTGAAATTCCTTTAACCATAGTACATGTGAGCATCTGGAATGTATAAAGTAACCTGTCATTTCAGCCTACATGCCATGACCTCTTAAATACACAGACGTGCCTTCACGTGTGTACTCACCGACAAATCTATCCCTAACACCAACAACACAAAAGATGACGAGGTTGAAATGCTCATCTATTATCAGTTCACTACAGCATGAAGACAATACTCTGCTTAATTTGACTAACGTGACTAGGGTTCGCTAGTCCCATGTAGGCTGATAGAGGCCTACCACCTGCCCTCTGTAGGCAATTCATAGACTTTAAGCTTGTACGGTGCCCCACTCTTCTGTTACGTTTGTTTACTGTATGATTTTATATGTGCCTAGCGAGAGATATCCCCCCTTTTTATTTTCCAAATCAAGGACATTCGTCTTATCTAGCTTATCTAAAATGTGCAGAGTATTCATAGCCACAGAAATGTTATACTATGCTTGATGCCCAGTTTGCACCAGCTGTTGTGGCAGTGCAAGCCCGCTTGTTTATCAAATACACAAATAAAATAAAGAAGAAGAAAGCTAGTGTATCTGGAAAAATAAGGTGCATCGGAGGTCTGTAAAAATATAAATTAAATCCCCTATTTCCTGGCATCTCCTCTTCCCATTGCTCATGCAGTTTTTATTGAAGACAAAAAAAGTGTACTCCTTAGTTCGAGTGGTCCAAAATTAATTTATCGGGCGAACTTTGTTCATGCAGCCGTTTCGGGGAAAATTATTTTGACTTACCAAAATGGGCCAGTATGTGTACTGCAAAATATAATCTAATTATTATGTGTATTTGTGTGTGTGTATAGATATATATATACACTTGGGGACTTCAATATCCCTATCAACGAGCTCAACTGCCCTGATGCCTCTCATCTGCTCTCTGTAACCTCCTCCTTTGGACTCTCACAGATTTCTACCTCAGCAACTCACACTGCAGGAAACACTCTTGACCTCATCTTCACCAATCTCTGTACCACCTCTGATCTCTCCACTGTTTCATTTCCTTTGTCTGACCACCATCTGCTAACATTTAACATCTGCATACCCCATACCATAATTTCACCACCATCAACTCTCCAACCTCGCAGAAACCTCAACTCCCTCGATCTCCAGCACTTCTCCACCAAACTCCAAACACTCCTTTTACCCATCTCAAATCTCAACTGTCCTAACTCTGCAACTTCACTCTACAACTCCACTCTCTCCTCTCAACTTGACATCATGGCACCTCCTACAGTTAAACGCAGCAAGCGCCCCCAATTACAACCCTGGCACTCCAAGCTGACCCGTTACCTCCAAAAATGTTCCAGAACTGCTGAACGCTGCTGGAGAAAGTCTCACTTTGCATTTGACTTTGTCCACTATAAATGTATGCTGCTCTCCTACAGCATGGCTCTTTCCTGTGCAAAAGTAAACTACCTCATAAGCACACTGTCCCATCAACCCAAACACCTGTTTCACACTTTTGATGCTCTTCTTTGCCCTGTGACTCCCCCTCCTTCCACCACCTTGTCCGCCACAAACTTTGCATCTCATTTCACTGAGAAGATCTCTACAATCAGGAGAGAGATCTCTACTCTCTCTCTTACCCCTATCAATACATCACCCAACCCCACTCCCCCTGCCTTCCTATGCTCATTTGCACCTGCTACAGCACAAGAGGTTTCTGCTCTGCTCCTGTCCTCCCGCCCCACCACCTGCTCCCTCGATCCTATTCCCTCGCATCTCATCCGCACTTTGTCTCCCTCTCTTGCCCTTCCTCTCGCTAACATTTTCAATCTCTCCCTTTCCTCTGGCACATTTCCCTCACCCTTCAAACATGCAACCGTAACCCCGATTCTGAAAAAGCCCAACCTTGATCCCAACTCCCCATCTAACTACCGCCCTATCTTGCTACTGCCATTTGCCTCCAAGATCCTCGAGAGAGTTGTGTACGCCTGATTATCAGACTTTCTCGAATCCAACTCTCTGCTTGACCCCCTTCAGTCTGGATTCCGCGATGGTCACTCTGTCGAAACTGTGACCAAAGTATCCAACGATTTAATTGCTGCTAAATCTCGCGGCCAATACTCTATCCTAATCCTCCTTGATCTTTCTGCCGCCTTTGACACTGTTGATCATCAACAGCTTCTTCACATTCTCCGTAACTTTGGTCTACAGGATACTGCTCTCTTCTGGTGCTCCTCCTACCTCTCCCAGCGCTCTTTCAGTGTTTCTTTCACTAGCTCTGCCCCAACCCCTCTCTGCCGGCGTCCCCCAAGGTTCTGTCCTCGGTCCCCTACTGTTCTCTATCTATACTGCCTCCCTTGGTAAACTCAACAGCTCCTTTGGTTTCCAATATCATTTATATGCAGATGACACGCAAATCTACTTGTCATCCCCTGATCTCTCTCCGCCCACCTTGACTCGTGTTTCTAACTGCCTCTCTGCTATTTCCAATTGGATGGCTGCTCACTTCCTTAAACTCAACCTGTCCAAAACAGAACTTCTAGTTTTTCCTCCCTCAAGTGCTGCTACTCCTGTTTCTGTCTCCATCAAAGTCAACGGTGCTACTATCACCTCTACCTCGCAGGCTGGCTGCCTAGGGGTTCTTTTTGATTCTGACCTCTCTTTTACTCCCCATGTTCAATCGATAGCCAAATCCTGTCGCTTCCAACTCAAGAACATAGCGCGCATCCGCCCATATCTAACGCCGGACGCGGCTAAGGTACTGGTTCATGCTGTTGTTCTCTCTCGCCTTGACTATTGCAATCCCCTTCTCACCGGTCTTACATGTTCCCAGCTTGCACCGCTGCAATCTATAATGAATACGGCTGCGAGGCTTATTTTCCTGTCCGGTCGCACCTCCCACGCCTCCACGCTCTGTCAGTCCCTGCATTGGCTTCCAGTTAGATATAGGGCCCAATTCAAAATTCTGGTGCTTGCTTACAAATCCCTACATAATGCTGCTCCAACATACCTATCCTCCCTCATACACAAGTATGTCCCGTCGAGACCCCTGCGCTCAGCCCAAGACCTACACCTATCCTCTGCCCGGATCCCCACCTCTGATGCTCGCTTTCAAGACTTCTCCAGGGCTGCACCTATTCTGTGGAACTCCCTTCCCTCCTCAATCAGACTTTCACCCAGCCTCCACTCCAAAAAATCTTTGAAAACTCACTTCTTCATTATAGCGTATCAATTAAACTGTCAGCAGGTTTCTCATCCCCCACCCCATGACTCCTTTCCTGCAACTGTCAAAAATGACCTACCAAGCACTCAATAAACCCTTCTCTAACAAACTATTTAATTCCCCTACTTTAACCCTTTGTGTCACTATACCCCACTCCCTCTAGCATGTAAGCTCATCGAGCAGGGTCCTCAACCCCCTCTGTTCCTGTACGTCAGGAACCAGTGGTCTGATCTCAATAATGTGTCTGTTAGTCCACCCATTGTACAGCGCTATGGAATTTGTTGGCGCTATACAAATAATAAAATAATATATATACAAAAGGAGAAACATAGGTATAATAAATCTATGATAAAAATCTATATTGTTCATTTCTGAAAGTTTTAAATCTATAATCTATAAGAAGAGATTTTTTACTGCTTGTTGTTTAGCTCTGTTGTTCACTTGATCTGTGAATAAATTCACCATAGAGTGGGTATACCCTTTCTTTCCATCAATCATCTCTTTTTTTGTCACCAACCAACTCCAATTCACAAATAAAAAAAATTAAAAAACATATACTCTGTGTTTAGGTGATAAACCCCACCAAAAACACAACGTGTGAGTGCTTTTCTAAATTTAATGAATAACAACTTACCCCTTAAGTGTACGCAAGGATAGTGCAATATTGTGTATATTCAGTGAGGTGTTTTGTTAGTGGATAATGGTGCACTCACATATAAAAGAGTCTTTTGTATGGATAGGCACTGTATGTACAGGCTTCCGTGCCTTTAAGGCGGTAACACTACCCTTGTTATTACTGATGGAACGGATATCTTCAAATGATCGACACAAGAAACGCAGAACAGAAATTGTTGCAGTATGTTTGCGCAGTACAAACAACAATTGAAAACCAAATGGCTGAGCGATCACCTTGTTTTGGAGCCCATAAAAGACTGGCTCCAAGTTTGTGCATATATTGCCAAATACAGGCTGACAGTACCCTCTTTGAAAACCCAGGGTGCAGGAAGGAAGGAGTTACTGTTGTTGATGTTTAATCAATTCATTTATTGAAATATTAACAAATAGAAACAGCTCAAATCAATTAAAAGTACTAATAAAATAGTGGACTCCTGCCTTCAAATCCTCCCACTCTGAATCTTCTACACCAAGCATGTCAAAATTTAAAGGCTAACATGGGCCAAATAAACAAGGTTTAGGTTTGTGGGCTGCAAAAAAAACAAAAACTAAAATTTTCATAGAAACATAGGTTTATTTTGAAAAGTACAGTATATAAAAAAAAACAGAATCCCCATCGACTAAATCCCACCCACCCCCCTCTACTAAACCCCTGCCCCTGTTAAAAAAAAAGAAAAACAATATTAGCCAACAAGCAGACTCCCACGGAGTCCGGCCTCTGGTATACCCTCAATGGCGTGTCTGCACCCTGTGCCAAAGCGGATCCTCCCGCTACTCTTTGAAGCCCTGTTAAGGTGGAGCATGTCGATGTCACGTGGGAATGGGACGTGGCATTGAGTGTCTCCGTGCACCTCCAGGTCCTCTGCTGTCCAGCCGCGGCCATCGCAACACTGACAGACACACACTCACTGAGATACACACACATTTACACATTCTCACACATTCACAAATCCTTAGGTTTTTCGCTGATTGCTCCCTACTTTTGGGAGCTGGTGTGGGGCCTCTCCCTGGTGTCGAGTGAGGATCTTCTCTCTGGAGGTATCCCCTCCTGCTCCTCTCCTCTCACAGTTTAGGGATGCTGGGCCGGAATGATGTCATATTCCGGTGCCCGGTATCACCACAGAGGGCGCACGCGAGCAGTGATGAGCAGGAAGAACAGACTGCGCTCGCTTCCGACCGCTTCCTGCTTCCTCTCCACCTGGCCTGGTGAATTTCAGCAAAGTAGGCACCTGCAACATGGGGAGAGCAGATTCCTACTCTGCCTTAACAGTAAGCAACAATCCGGGGGCACCCACCAGTTGAGCTCCCTGTTACACTTCATCTACTCGCGGCTCGCTGGGCCACAGAGATATTAATTATGGGCCGTGAGTTTGACATATTTGCTCTACACACACACACTACACTTTCCACTACACACACACTTCACCACCTACACAAACATACAATACATTCCTGCACATGGGCTGCCCTGGAACAGCATTGAACCAACCGCAATTGTTTTTCCAGTCTGGCGCTGCCACTCAACCACAAATTTTTCTTGTGTGTATGGGTTATTAATGATTTTATTGCATTTATCGTTACACCGACAGAATTTTCAGGGATGGGATGTACGGATGCGATATGTGGCCCACTGACTGAAATGTGGCCCACAGAATATATATACATATACAATACGATTGGTGGTCAATGCTTTTTTTAATTACAATGAGCTAATTTATATAGCCCCCTGTTACTCTGCTGGCTAGTGTACTTACATTGTAGACTTTACACACCAATAAATATCAGAAATATGCAGAATATAACCGCCCACTATAAGAAAAACAGCTTGATATTGTCCACCAACACATCTCAAATTTGGATTAGAGCAATCATTTCAGAGCGTGTCCCGGGGCCGCATTTGTTCATTTTGTTTAACTTCATTAGATTATGTGCACTGAAATTAATTGACACTTTAATCACAATAACAAAATATAAATTTCTTGTATTTCCAAGTGACGCTGCTTTTATTTGCTCCGATAATTACAGCGGGTGATACTGAAGTAACATCACGTCTCTACAAATCTCAATTTATTACGGTTATTATTATGTTCTCTTATACAATCAGAATATTTAAGTCCGGCTTATTTTTAATGTTCCGGATAGATCAACATTAACGTCAAAACCGTGGCTTCATTAGGCTGATTTATTTATTTATTTACATTTTTTTTTATATTCCTCCGGGTTTGTTTAAAGGAGCAGTAAAGGCAATTCTTGAAAATCCTGTTAGCAATATCGAAAATCGTGACTCTCTGACATCATCAGGTTTCTGTGATGTCATCAGTCTAACGCCATCAATGATAAGATGAAAAGAACACTTAAACTCCTAATTCATTTCCTGCCTGGTTGTGACATATCTAGGCTATATAATGTTTCTTTTTAAATCCCAAATATTATGCTAATAAATATGTCCTCTATTTTTCTAATAGGTTCACAAAATTACCAAAATGTGTTTTATACTGGAAACTGAATATTCTTGTAAGATAATAAAGTGACCTTGCATATTACAAAGAAAGCCGAGTGGATTAGTAGATTTAGTCTGTACTCAAACATTGTAATAGAATAAAATTAACTCTGCTTTAAATGCTACCCTAGTAAATATGTTTTATCACTTCTGTCTTTTGGGTGCCAAGCCTAGCTCTTAAATCATTTTAATTCAATCCAAAAGCACAAAATTATCCAAGCACTCAAAGTAGGATGACACCTTTAAAGGACTTAACACATGAGATAACGTTTCGACCACGCTATATGGACTTTGCCAAAAGAGATTTGACAAAGGCCACATATGTGGCCGAAATGTTATCGTGTGTTATGTCCTTTTAGAGTCTGCATCAAAGCTGGATCCTTTTTTGCTTTTTGATTCTATACAGGGGATTTGCCACCCTGGGTTCACCTTCAACCAGTGAGGAAGGAAATAGATACAAATAGAGTTTCGTCCCTTCAACTGTGGTGCATATCATGTTCATTCAGAGATAGACAAGTTTGTTTGGACAGATAATGTGCAAGTGAAATGTCCACATGCAACAGAGGACCAAGCTGTGACTACTTTTTTTATTTTTATCAAACCACTCGAAAAACAGTTTAACAAATAAAATATTGTGGGACTGCCGCAAAAGACTCCTTGTTCCGTAACCACTAAAATAAGATGCATATTCTTTGGTACTTAGACTCTTCCTTTAAAGGGACACTATAGTCACCTGAACAACTTCAGCTTAATGAGGTTGTTCAGGTGAGAACTATAGCTCCCTGCAGCCTCTCTCATGTAAACACTGAGAAAATACAGTGTTTACATTGAAAGGTAGGAACACCTCCAGTTGCAGTCACTCA